CGAGAAAAAGGACCGACCCCCACCCCCCATTTGTTGGCTTTCTAAGAATCATACCGGTGAAATGGTGAGATGTTTCCTCGTCATCAAATCCATCGCATTAATGAAAGAAACACAGACATTAGGGTTAGTATGACCAGGCCGGTGACGACCGACTAGCAAACTTCTTAGAAGTAGGTGCATCCCTGCGCAGCAGACAAATACACAGCTTGACGGGCACGAACGCTGAGAGCCTGTTCCCAGGCGTGGCCCGAAGCATGACAAAGATGTGCAAGGCTCAGTCTCTTTTTCAACACAATTACAAAGACCGTACTGAGAGACATGACCGAAGAGATGAGTAAGTGGGGGTGAGACGTGGTTGAAAGACGACAGGGCGTGAGGTTCACAAAGAAATGGAGTATGAATTAAAACTCAGCAGAATGCTATCAAGTACTTAATAGGATTCATTTGTAAAAAAATAAAGAGGCAAAACTATATAAGGATATTTGGGGAATTAGAAGAAAAAGCAAAGGTAGATTCTAATACTCATTATAGAACAAAAACTATCTAAAATATAAGAACTAAAATGACATTTCATTATGGCCTACTCTATAACAAACTAGGAGCAAAAAAAAAAAAATAACCCCAAACAAACAAAAAAACCCAAAACAAAACAAAAAAACAACCCAAAAACAATGGGATGGCAATTATGACATAATAAATACTATCATGACAACTATACGTTACTCACGAGGAGGAAGATTTACCAGAATGTTCAAAAGACTAACAAAATAATTAATGCCAATAGTGAAAAAAAAATGAAGGAGAAGGAGGGAAAACAATCTGGTTTCAAATGCAGGGGCAAAAAAGTAAGTTGGGACAGTTAAGGAATTAGACACTATGAAAGACAAGGCAAAATATTCAAAATATTCAAAAATATTCAAGTTCCACGGAATTAAAAAGTGTTCTCCAACGGCATTAATTTAACACCTGTTCTGAATGAACTCGGTGCTAAATGCTGGGAATACAGAAACAAGGCGGGTTTGCCGGGGACTGGCCTGGCCGACCAGCATGGGGACCCTCCTTCCAACAGAGGAATGGCCAGGCAGGACACAACACACACTGCTACAAGCCACGTGAGTTCTAGAACACGAGGTCTTGTTTTATCTGCGGCAGTCTCTTTTTCTGGGGGATAGTCCGTGCTCTAGAGAAGTGGTGATCCACAAAGGATGATAAAAGATGTACAAGTAATCTTACCAGACGTGCCAAAACCAAAGAAGGAGCATCACAGCAAAGACTAAGGCACAAGGTTGACTGTGGCCCTGCGTGCAGTCAGGAAAATAGTCAGGTAGACGAATTGTAATCAGCAAGGGTGACAGGCAAATTCTAAGGCGGCCTCGTGACACTCATCCAGGGGCGCTGCTCCCGTGATTATGTTAGGATTCCCGGCAAAGATAATTTTGCAGATATAATGAAGGTTACTAATCAGTTGGCTCAAAGACAGGGAGACTGTCGGAATAATCCGAACCTATCATCAGAGCCCTTTAAAAGAGTTCTCTCCCTTTGCTAACAGAAAGGGAAGTCAGAGAGAAGATACGGAGCATGACAGAAACATTCTGTTGCTGGGCCTGATGATGAAGGGAGCGATCTGGAAAGAACCTGAGAGCTGCCTCTAGGAGCTGAGAGCCAGGGCTGGGACAGCTGTCAGGGAAGGGGGCTCTCGGTCCTAGAGGTGCAAGGCATGGGCTTCTGCCAAGAGCCTGAATGAGCTGGGAGCACAGTCTTCCCCACAGCCTCCAGAGGAGAAGGCGCTCAGCCCGATAAGCTGACGTGGGTCTAGGGAGACCCTCATTCATGCTAATACATGGGTGTTGTTTTAAGCCCCTGAGTTTGTGGCATTTTGTCCTGCAACAATAGCAAACTGTTACAGCAAGAAAGACGGTGGACATCCACTGACATCATGAAATACTATGGAGAGCCTCACAGACACCACCACAGCCTAGAGAGACCAATGAACAGGGGCCAGAAGAAAGCAGAAGCATCCCATGGTGAGATGTAAAGCAACCGGGACTGCCTGGGCATGCCTCTTCACGGGGACTCTGTGTTGGGAGTTTTAGCTCTGTTCCCTTCCAAATGACCTTGGTAGAATTATGTTAGCTGTTGGAAAGGACCTTCCCAGGACCTTCCATATCCAGGCTAACTGGAGTATATGCATATACAACAACAACAAATCTTTTTTATTAACACATGGATAAACTTCTAGGCAGAAGCAATGCAAAATCTGTCTCTTTCTCTAAAATAAATAAATGAATCTTAAAAAAAAAAAGGGAGAATGGTCAACTGAGTGGAAGAAGACTAGGATAATAAGGTCAAAAAGTTTCTTCAGATTTGGGAAGAGCGGGTTCAGCATAAGTGGATAGAAAAGCCCAATGCAAGAGGGGTAAGACTAGCTAGTCAGCAGAGACGCATAAACACATATGAAAGGGACTGGGGATCTCAGTCCTATAACGAGAGAGGTCTTTTACTCCAACAAAACGTGAGGCATGTAACATCTAGAATTTGGAGGTTTTGTAGCTTTAGGACAAGGAGGTTGAAGATACTGAACTAACAAAATATTTCAACCTCCTGATAAATACAAACACACTTGAGAGAGATGATAAAGATAATAGTTCTTTTAAAGGTAAGACATCTTCAGAAGCTCTTCTGAAAAAATTTTAAAGAAAGACAAGTACGTTCTATTGACCAGAAGACAGTGCGGTTATACATCGTCTACTTCGGTTTAATGACAAAAGCCAAAAAAATGGTAAGGTATGCTGATAGTCACAATCCTAGAACAGTAGGATCATCATCATCCTAGAAAGGTACAACCTCCTCACCTCATGAAGAAACATACTGCAAAATGTAATACATAAAATTTGTGGGTGGCAACACCGGAGTCAATTTGTTAATTTCCCCTTGATTCTCATAATTCTGGTGCTTTAAATTATGGCATGGAACAACACCATCTTTAAAAATTTGTGTTGAGGTCTGAATTACGCCCTTACTCTAGCTATACTGCTTAAATTAAACAGATGTTTACTAGAATCCCTTGCTTTTTTTGAACTTGCGGAAAAGAATGTGCAGCTGGTTGGACATCGAAAAACCTTCCAACAGCTAACATAATTCTACCAAGGTCATTTGGAGGGAACAGAGCTAAAACTCCAACACTGTATCTTTATCTACCTGTGTATTATTTCTTTAAGAAGCTTTGCTCTGAAACTCAAAGCATCCATTGTTAAAAGACTGAAAAATGATGCAAAAGTAGATGTTATTTTGGCCTAAGCCTTTTTACTGCTTAGCGGAAATAAAATAATTTCTCACTATTGAATTCACATGAATAGTGTCTAAAAATACAGATTTAAAAAAAAACAAACAGAACAAGAACGTACTAATTACTCTAGGCCTACTAAAACAAAGCTCCCTCCTTCCTTGTGGTATTACTTATCTGGAATTACATGCCTTTAAGATTGTGATTATATTTAGCCCTGTTGTTTTGTTGTTATAACAATACTGCAAAGAAAAATTATGCATTTTATGATGGTTTGACACTATCAGTCAGAACAAGCTTTTGTCACATCAAAATAATTCTTAGTGCCAAGTTATTTTGAAGACAGAAAATACTTCCTAAAAAGAAAACTTATTTCAAGAATGATAATAACTTTTATTGATGTGTTACTGCATGCCAGGCAGTGAGCAAAGTGCTCCTATCAGTACTACTTTATTTAATTCTTAGAGGAATTCTATTAAGTAGGTCCTATTATTACCCCCATTTTACAGATAAAGAAACTGAAGCTTAGAGGGATTAGGGAATTTGCCAAATGTGACACAGCCATAAAGTGGCAGGTCCACGAACAAACCCAGGCCACCTGACCTGGCAATCTACATCAACTGTCCCCCAACGTGAAAGAGTCGTGCCTCGCTCTACATATTTATTTAAAGAGAATGCGTCTTCTCTGCTTGGCTAGAAAAAAATTAAGTCAAGAAAATTTGACAGCAAATCCATTCTTTTACATTAAGAAGTTACCAAAGCTCTCTTTTGACTACTTTTAATACGTAAAGATTTTGGCTGAATTATTTTTGTTTTGCTGAAAGAAAATTAAGGCCCCTCATGGCAAGGTGTGATTAGTCTACTGTGGTTCTAAAAAGTCTTGATATATGTTCACATCTCTTTCTCAAATTACAGAGGAATTCATCTTTCTCTATGACTCCTACATCTGTGACTGAATTGATTATCTCCAGTTTTCCTCATTTATATGAAAAGTGATCTAAAATAATAAAAACAGAATAAAATATGGTATTTGCCGTAACTTCAGTGGTCTCCATGATTGTGGTCTTCTTATCATAAACAGTTTGAAGTGTTGAGACAGTGAACATGCATTTCAGGAATAAAGGAATAAATACCAAGGTTCACCTCAGAAATCCTTGTTTTTTGAGAAGGAGGGCTGTCTACAATTTGCTTTTTCTATTACCAAAAACATCATTCAACTTTTTTACGTAAGCACTCTTTAAACCAGTAACATTTAACCCACAAACAAAAATGTTCGGATAAAGAAACCAACAACAAAAATGGACATGAGTATGTGTATCATATTCTTTTCTCTTTCCATATAATTAAGAGAAAGGATGATGGAAAGAATGAGGACTCTCCTAATGTCAGTCCGATGCTCTTCATTAATAATATCTTGATCAATAGCCATTCCGTGGAGCAAGTTCAAAGGGAAAGGGAGAAAAGCCATGAAGAGGTTTTAAGCTTCAGATTACGGGAAGGTACAGAGTCAAAAAGGAATCTAGCAGATGACAGCAAATATCACATAAATATTACTAAACGAAGTTTAAAGGACGCGATTCCACAGGTCCAAGATGCAATTCCCGAGGCTGGGGAGAGGTACTCTCCCCGACCCCACCCTACTCAGACACCGCCCAGCAGCGCCGCAGTCCGGAGACGGCGCTTGCCCAGGCGTCCCGCGGAGCCTGCGGAAACTCACCTCCCGATCTCAGGGCGTCGGGATCCTGTCTTCCGCACGGCCTGGCCCCCTGCCGCCCTCGCCTCGCACCACCCGGCCCGCGGACGCCAGCCGGCCCCAGTCGGCGTGCCGAGCCTCACCTGCCCGCACCTGCTCGGGGTCGGCGTCATCCGCCGGCCTGGCGCGCTCACACACCCGCTCGCACGCGCGCCGCCGCCTCCCAGGAGGGGCCGCCCCGCCGAGGGACGCCCTCGCCTGCCGTCCCCACGACAGAGCGCCGGAGCAGCGACTCTGGTCCAAACCCGGCACCCGGGGAGGCGACCGCGGCGCGCTTACCTCC